CCCACTTCCAGCACGTGAGCCCCGACCACGTGCACAGCAAAAGACACGCCCAAGGCCCTCCCAGTCCATCAAATGTACCATGTAAACAAGTGTGAACATATTTAATTTGGGTTTTAGAATTTTTAAAAAGCCATAACTTTTGAACCAAACATCAAAATTAAGATCCATTTTCATTGTGAAAATCCTCGCGACGTGCTCTTCGAAACTAGATCCCGCATGAGTATGTTTTGACAAAAAAAAATTATGTGCAACTTATGCCCCATTTTGTGCAACTGTCTAGCAGTCGATGTGCAACTAAATGATAGTCGATTTACTCATAGACGTGTAGTTTTCACTTCGACAGTAATCTGATGTCTGTGTAATTAAACACCACTCTGTGCAACTAGACCTAGTAGCAAAAACCAACTTCGATCTGGATGTGCGCAAATGGACACAAGAGAGTAGTCCTGCAAAAAAGTGTGCAACAAACATCCCAGACTAGAAACATGTGGTGGATGTATTGTTTGTGCAAAAGGAGTACATATTTGTGCAACTAAATCATGGATCCAAGCCAAAGGTGATTAGTTAACACTGCATACAAAATATTTGTCGTTCTTCGGAAAAACTAGATAAAAAAGGTTGACGATGCCAACTTGATATTATGTTAGTTGTGCAGCTACAAAATGCAGAGGATGCCAACTAAAAAATAGTTACTCTTATGCAACTAGAAAAACTGAGGATGTCAACTAGTTAGATATTATCGTGTAACTAGAAAATGCTCAGGATGCCAACTAATTAAATACTCCTGTGCAACTAGAAAGGCTGAGGGTGCCAATCATTAGATACTCTTGGGCAACCCTCAAAAATTTGAAGATGGGACTAAAAAATAGTTACTCTTGTGGCTGAGGATGTCAATTAGTTGGATACTGTTTGTGCAAGTAGAAATGCTGAAGATGCCAACTAATTGGATACTCGTGTGCAACTATAAATCTTGAGGATGCCAATTAATTAGATACTCTTGGGAAAAGAAATATTCAGCACTTGCATGACCAATCAAAAAATTGCACATTCAGGTTTCAGGCTTCTAGAAGAAAATGCTGAGGGTGTCAACGCAGCTACCAAAATACTGAGGATGTCAACTAGTTGGATGGTATTGTGCAACTAGAAATGCTGAGGATGCCAACTAATCAGGTACTCTTGTGCAACTAAAAAAGCCTGAGGATGCCAGCTCATTTATATACTCTCTAGGATACATCATCATTCTCTCCATCCCCGTCATTATCAGCGCCACGTGGTTGCCGCTTAGCCGCCCGTTTTGAGTTCCGCCGAGAGGTCCTATTTGGAGAACCCTACAATGAACAAAAAATATTGAACTACACAGAGGGTAAAAGAAAAGAGCATAAATAAATGGCCATATATGATAAAAGAAAAAGAAAATATGAACCTCTGCTTCACTACCAGGCACATTTCCTCTGGTTGCACAGTAATGTATCCCTAGTTGCACAGAACTAAAAAAATTATTTGCCTAGTTTGCTTACAAATTTGGCTAGAAGATATGATAGATTGCACAAGAAGGCTCCCCAGGTTGCACAAAACTGACATCAAAAACTGATATACAAAGAACGAAAATTATTTGCCTAGTTTGCTTACAAATTGGGATACAAAGATTTGATAGATTGCTAAGGAACCCCTAGTTGCACAGAACTAACACCAAAAAACTGATATACAGAGAACAAAATTTATTTTGCCTAGTTTGCTTATAAAATTTGGCTATCAGATGTAATAGATTGCACAGGAAGGCACCCTAGTTGCACAGGGAGGCGTCCCTACTTGCACAGAACTAACATCAAAAACTGACTTACAAATTTGGCTAGTGGCTATGATAAATTGCACAGGAACGGGGCCTAAGTTGCACAAAAAAATAGACTGACTACACATAGCAATTCCCCCTCTCAAAATCAGTAAAAATCATGTGAAAAGCCGTTGGGGCTAGTGCCCTACCTTCCCCTAACAGATCAACTACAGATCCATAGATGTTAATTCATGGAAGGATATAGCCGACTCCTTCATGACCAATCCGCCACCATAGCGAAGCCTGCACGCTGCATCCCTGTAGTCCGACCCTAGCCACCATGGATCCGACCACCACGCCCTTCTACTACAACAAGGCCGGCAGCGGAAACCCCTGCTACTGACTTCTCCATCCCGTCCACGCTCCTTTTCCCCATCCATGACCACGATGCTTGCACGCCACCGCCCCGTCATCCACGCGTGACCACGACGAATCCTGTCACTGCGCTCTTTCCCCCATCCCAACCTTTTGGATCGATGGATCCAGAGAGAGGCGATGTCCTACCTGTATGTCCCCTCCCAAGAGCTCTGACGGTGCCCCTTAGGAAAGTGGAGGAGGAGACGTCGGCGATGCTTCTCCGGCTCCACGGCCTCGATCTGCTCGGCCTGCACCGCCAGATCCGCCGCATCTTCCTTGACCTCCGGGGGCGTCGATGCCGGGAGGAGGATCGGGACGGTAGCCACATCGCCGGGAGGAGGAGCTCGGCGGAGGGGCACGTGGCCTGGAGAAGGAGCGGGAGGCGGCCGCGTCGGAGGAAGGTGAGCAGCAGTGCGAGGCGGCAGGTAGTGGGAGGTGGGACGAATGGATAAGATGCAAGAAGTGGACGAGCGCGTATGCTGATATGTCGATAGCGAGGCCGCTCGGGGCAACGAAACAGTCTCCCGATAAAATAGCACCTGACTCTCCTGGGCCACACGATCCACGCGGAACGGAACGAGCGGTCGAGGCGCGGCCGCTCAGTTTGACGGAATAGTGCGCGTGCACTTTTAAAATTTCAGGATTATATAAACATAGGCGAGCCACAATATGTCGTCCGAGAATTTGGCAGAGACAAAGAGAGTTTACTCCCTTAACCTGGCACCATGTTCCATCTAGTAGTTCCGTTAAGTCCGTAGTTTGCATCCACGCCAACTCCATCCATGTACAGTCTCAATGTAAACAATCTAGGCCACAACAAGCTTACAGGAACCATCCCATTCCCCAGAGATCGGCAACCTTGTGCGTCTGAAGAGCCTGCACACAGCATAATAGTCAACTTGGGATACAAATAGTCAACGAGAACATGCTTAGTTAATTCTTCTCTTCCGGCTTTGCCCGCTTTTTCCACTCGGTGTGCTCTTGCATACAGTACATAGCTATATTTCTTCTTAGTGGAATGGCAGCACTCCTGTCGGCAGATTATCAATAGCAAAGATAAGAGTGCATAAATCAACCATAGATGACTCGCAAGTCCTGCGTTGACCAGAGCACCGACGAGTCATGTTGGCTCACAAATCATGCACTTGAGTACTCTGTTGACTCAATCTGACAGCAACTTGAAAACCAAACCATGAATTATTGAGCAACTTGCCTTGCTCAATCCATTATAGTACTCCCACAGTCCCAAAATAAGTGTCTCAACTTTATACTAGCTCTAGTATAAATTTATACTAAGCTCAAGACAATTATTTTGGGACGGAGGGAGTAGTATATAACAATGCAAAGCAGGAAGCCGCACTTGCTTGTGTCTACTAGAACCAGCAAAGAAGTGAGCAAAATAAGCAGCCAGCCTTGGTAGAAATATGCTCAGTGCAGAGCTCCCCATACTAGTTTCTCTGCTCCTTGCACGGGGTCAGCACCGATTTCACACGCCGGGATCGCTACAAATAATTCCAGCGACCACTCTGTTCTCCTATCCTTCAAGTTGCTCGTAACGGATGACCCCTTGCAAGCTCTGGAGTCATGGAGCAACCGGCCAATGCCCATATGCCCTGGCATGGAGTGGCGTGCGGCAGGCGAGGACGCCGTCGTGGCCGGATCGTGGCGCTGGACCTTCGGAGGAGCACAAAGTCTAGAAGCAGCTGGAGCACTGGATTTCTTACGAGAGACAATGCATCCTTTCACACAGCGCGACGGTGACACGGATGAAACAGCACCAGGATAATCACGTATACCAATATAAACATAGGCAAGCCGCAATATGCCGGCCGAGAATTTGGCGGAGACAAAAGAGAGTTTAATCCCTTAACCTGGCAACATGTTTCATCTAGCTCCGTTAACTACTTAACTCCATAATTTGCATCCGTTCCAACTTCCTCCATGTACAGTCTCAAGGTAACCAATCTAGGCCACACAAGCTTACAGGAACCATCTCGCTGCCACTGGAGATCGGCAACCTTGTGAGTCTGAAGAGCCTGCACACAGGAAAACAAAAATAATACCACCCAGCATAAGATTTGGTATTGAACTTGGGATACAACTAAGTAGTTACTTCCTCCGATCCATATTACTTGTCGCAGCTTTAGTACAACTTTATACAGTCGAGCTGTAGAGAACATACTTAGTTAATTGTTTGAGATAGAACATGCCTTTCTGACCACCTCTTCGGGCTTTGCCTGCTTTTCCCACTCGATGTGCTCTTGCATACATGGCTATATTTCTTCTTAGGCCTTGTACAATGCTAGGTGCTTAGGGAGGTGTTTAGAAAAATAAACATGGTTTTTCTGAAGCACAAGTGCCTATTTTTATAGGAGAGACGCCTAATTAAGCGTCTACCCTATACAAATAAGCACCGGTGCTTAAGAAAAGCCTAGTTTATTTCTCCAAGCACCTCTCCTAAGCACCTTGCATTGTACAGGGCCTTAGTGGAATGGTAGCAGCACTCTTGCCCCTGTGGGCAGATTCTCAATTGTGCAAGATAACAATGCAAAATCAACCATGGATGACTCGCAAGTCCTGCATTGACCAGAGCACTGACGAGTCATGCTGGCTCACAAGTCATGCACTTGAGTACTCTCTTGACTCAATTTGTCAGCAACTTGAAAACAGATAATTAAGTTCACCAAGTCATGAATCATTGAGCAACTTGCCTCGCCCAATCCATTATATATAACAATGCAAAGAAGGGAAGCGCACTTGTGTCTACCAGAACCAGAAAGAAACAAGCAAAGGCAGCAGCCTCGGTAGAAATATGGCAGGCACAGAGCTCCCCATGCTAGTTTCTCTGCTCCTCGCACTCGCTGCTAGCATGGGGTCAGCACCAATTGCACACGCCGGAATCGCCACAAGTAATTCCAGCGACCACTCTGCTCTCCTATCCTTCAAGTCCCTGATAAGGGATGACCCCTTGCAAGCTCTGGAGTCATGGGGCAACCGTACCATGCCTATGTGCCAATGGCACGGCGTGGCATGTGGCAGACGAGGACGCCGCCGTGGACGGGTCGTCGCGCTGGACCTCAGCGACCTCAACCTTCTGGGTGCTATCTCCACCTCGGTGGCCAACCTTACATTCTTGAGGAGGCTCCGCCTCCACAGTAACCGCCTCCATGGTGCCATGCCATCAGAGCTTGGCCACCTGCGGTACCTGAAGCACCTCAACCTGTCGAGAAACACTCTGGATGGTGCTATTCCGCCGTCGCTTTCACGGTGCTGGCATCTCGAGAGCATCAGCCTTGCTTACAACAGGCTGAAAGGGGAGGTACCGCGGGAGCTTGGTGCCTTGCCCAACCTCCGTTCAATTCAGCTCTACCAGAACGAGCTCAAAGGGGAGATACCACATGAGCTTGGCTCCTTACACAATCTCAAGGTACTCAGTCTGGGCTACAACAATCTTTCAGGAACCATCCCTTTAGAGATCAGCAAGCTTGTGAATCTGGAGATTCTGCAATTAAGAAACAATGAGCTAACAGGAGAAATACCCCCTGGCATAGGTAACCTTGTCAAATTAAACATATTCTCTCTAAGTTCGAATCATTTGTCTGGTTCTATCCCAAGTTCAGTAGGAAATCTCTCGGAACTGGCCCTTCTTATTTTGCACACAAATAACCTAACAGGGAGTATTCCATCATTACATAATCTTTCATCTCTCTCGGTACTTGAATTATCACACAATGACCTGACAGGATGCATCCCATCTGGGTTAGGAAACCTCACATCACTATTTTTTATAGATCTTCAGTACAACCATCTAACTGGACAAATTCCAGCATCACTAGGGAACCTCAACTTGCTTGAAAATCTTGGTCTGTCCTGGAATAACCTTTCAGGTCTCATACCTTACTCCATTGGAAACCTGCACTTCCTCTCCGAAATTGGCCTGCACTATAATGAATTAGTGGGGCCATTGCCTCCTTTGCTATTCAATCTTTCCTACCTTCAAATTCTCAATGTAGAAAGCAATTATAACCTCAATGGGTCTTTTCCATTCGACATGGGAAACAACCTTCCGAATCTAGAGTTCTTCTTTGCAAATGATAATCAATTCCATGGTCCTATTCCTCCCTCTTTGTGCAATGCCTCTATGATTCAAATGATCCAGCTCGGTCAAAACTCCCTAACAGGAACAATTCCCAGTTGCCTAGGAATTCACTTGAAGAGCTTGTCCGTATTAACCATTGCCGAAAACCATATTCGAGCAAAACAAGATGCTGACTGGAGCTTCTTGGTAGGCCTAAGCAATAGCAATAATTTGCGAGTGTTGGATTTAGGTGACAACATGCTTGAAGGCGAAATACCAAGTTCGGTAGGCACCCTCTCCAAAAATCTAGAGTATCTTAACATGGGAGACAACAGCATAACGGGAAAGATTCCTGAAGTAGTGGCGAACTTGACCAATCTGCACACACTTATTCTATATGGTAATCATTTAGAGGGTACTATTCCAACCTCTCTTGGCAAGTTGAAGGGACTAAATTTGTTAACCCTAGGAATCAATGACCTATCAGGATCGATCCCTCCCACATTCGGCAATCTTACACAACTAAGCGAACTTGATCTTAGTGGCAACATGCTTAGTGGAAGCATACCTTCTAGTCTTATATGGTGTCCACTACAAAAATTAGACCTTTCAAACAACAGCCTTGTTGGTCCAATACCTAGGAACCTATTCCTTATAAACACATTGTCCGTCCATATGAGAATCCAAAACAATCAATTAACCGGGGATTTGCCTACAGAATTAGGTAACCTAAAGAATATTGGGGAACTTGATTTCTCCGGTAATCTGATATCTGGAGAGATTCCGATCTCCCTTGGAGAGTGCCAGACACTGCAGTTTCTGAATGTATCTCGGAACAACCTTCAAGGGACAATTCCGTCATCAATCATACAGATGAAAGCCCTATTGATGCTTGATCTTTCCCATAATAATCTCTCAGGGAGCATTCCTGGGTTCCTCAGGAGCATGGAAGGGCTTGCTAGTTTGAATCTCTCATTCAACAACTTGGAGGGTGAGGTTCCAACAAATGGGATCTTCAAAAATGCAGCTTCCGCCTCAGCCTCAATTAAGGGAAATAATGGCCTGTGTGATGGAATCCCTCAACTGAAGTTGCCACATTGCTCTAATCTCACCACCACGAAATCAACTCAGAAACTGGTTATAATATTCTCCATATGTGGTACAGTTGTATTTATTGCATCAGTATTCGCACTGTCGACATTCTACAGTAAGAGCAGGAAGATGAAATCAAACAAGCAGACATCATCCATCAACGAGCAATATTTGAAGGTTTCCTATGCTGAACTGGTCGGTGCAACTACTGGTTTTGCTTCAGAGAACCTCCTTGGTGCAGGAAGCTTCGGCTCGGTGTACAAGGGAACAATGAGGATAGATGACCAGCAATTAGTGATTGCTGTGAAGGTGCTCAACCTCACGCAGCGAGGTGCATCTCGAAGTTTCGTTGCAGAATGTGAGACTCTGAAATCCGTTCGACATAGGAATCTTATGAAGATATTAACAGTGTGCTCAAGCATTGATTTTCAAAGCCGTGACTTCAAGGCCCTTGTGTACGAATACCTACCAAATGGAAATTTAGACAGATGGCTACACCACAACCCCATGGAAGATGCTGAAAAGAGGACATTACATCTCCGTGTGAGGCTGCAGATTGCAATTGATGTAGCATCATCACTTGAATACCTTCACCAACATAAGCCAATGCCAGTTATTCACTGTGATTTTAAGCCAAGCAATGTTCTCCTTGATTGTGAAATGGTTGCACATGTTGGCGATTTTGGGCTTGCAAGGTTTGTACATCAAGACTCGGAGAAATCAACTAGTTGGGCATCAATGAGAGGCACAATAGGCTATGCCGCTCCAGGTGAGCTTTTAGTTATTGTAGCATCTTATTCTCTTCTATAATCCCCCTAGGCTTTCTTATTACTTCACATTTTGATACAACTACCTATCTTAGAAATTGGAGAAGAACTAGATATGTACGGTTTCACATGCACACTAAATATGGTTATTCAATTCTAACCTATCCATTTCAGTTTGCTTACATTTTTCTGTCAATTCCAGAGTATGGTCTGGGCAACGAAGTTTCAATCCATGGTGATGTCTACAGCTACGGCATACTGTTGCTGGAGATGTTCACTGGAAGAAGGCCAACAGACAGCGAATTTGGAGAATCCTTGGGCATTCACAAGTATGTGCAAATGGCATTGCCAGACAGGGCAACAGAGGTCATAGACCGGCACTTACTAGCAGAGACAGAAGATGAGGAAGAAAGCATCTCAAACTCTGAGAGCATGGTGGATCTGAGAATTGCTTGCATCACTTCAGTCCTGTGCACTGGGATTTCATGCTCACAAGAGACACCAACAGATCGCATCCAAATCGGGGGTGCTCTGAAAGAGTTGCTAGCAATAAGAGACAGATTTGACAAGGAGTTGTGTGTGGAAGGTGAGCCAGTAAACTAAAGCATAGGCCATTCAAGCAACCAGGACTGGTCAATAAGGACGGCAAGCTGCCATTTCAATAGGCTCCAGCTAGTTCCAAATAAAAAAAGTAGTTGTGTTTTGTGGAATATTTGCTGTATTGACGTAATGGTATATCTGTACTGTTGAATTGTACGTATATATGGTGTTGTATAAACCACATGTTCTAGAATACATCCATGGTGTAGCGCATGCGTCTGTTTGTTGTAATAATCAGCCGGTTATTAAGATTGGCGTGAGGATCATACCGGCTGATCTTTCTGTAATCTGTCAATCACCATGGACCTATATAACACGTACGCGTCCCTGCCTAACAGCATGCGCTTCCAGCCCCACTTTTTTACTTTAATAAACTGCCTTATGTATTCTCCACGACTGCAATTTTTTACTGAGTATATGACCAGAAAAAAAAACTCATCTTAGCTAGGAGTACAAGATTGCACGCTTTCACATCATTCCCTTCACGCAATGCTTAGCTTATTCGCTTATATCCTCGATTATCACCAGGATCTCATCCATGACTGGGTTCTTCTTCCCTTGGAGCTTGCAACGTGTGCAAATCACACGTGTAAACTAGCACTAATCGCTGAGATGGATTGGTAAGAATGGAAGGAAGGAGGCGTTACCTCCGTCTTGGTGGTCGAGGACAAGCCAAGCAGCTAAGCGAGGCTGCCGCCGCAACGGAGGAATCTGACGGCGGAGTTCGTCGCGGCGAAGGGGGGCGGCGGGTAGAGGCGCCAACCGGCGGCCGAGTGGCGGCGGAAGTCGAGGACCCGACGAAGCAGAGAGCAGATGTATAGCAGGCTCGTGGTTGTCATGGGCTAAAAGTAAGGGCACTACTCTGCGCCGGCGCGCCGGCCCAAATTTGGGCCGGTCGGCCCGCAGCCGTCCGGTACGCCGGGTTAGAACCGTTCGATTACAGTCTAATTTTCATCGTCGTTCACTTCTCGCCCGCACAGAAACAAAAAAAAAGTCAATCAACAGCGCGCGACGCCCCCGGCCTCGAAGAACCGCCCGTACGTTCTCCGGCCGTCACTGCCCTCGACGTCGGTCGCCGTCACTGCCCTCGTCGCCGGTCGCTGTCGGTCGCCGTCGTCGGCTTCGTGTATGCAGCAGCCTGCTCCAGCGGTTGTAACTCCCCATGGCGACGGCCGCAGCTTCGATGCGGCAGCGCAGCTCCGATGCAGCCGGCCATCCTCGTCACAGGTTGCAGCCTCAAAATGGCACAGCCGCGTCGCTTACAACCAAAATAGTGGTGGTAGCAAATACCAATGCTGATTCCAACAAAACAAACACAACGTGGAAGCAAAAAAAGAAAATGGGGCATTGGTTCCAGCAAAAAACTCGCACAGAGGTGGAACCAAAAAAGTGAAAAACATGAAACCGGTTTCAGCAAAAAAAATGATACGGTGGAAGCAAAACCAGACACCAGTTGTAGCAAAATCAAGACGCCGGTAGCAAAAAAAAAATGGGTTGTTTTCAGCAAAATCCGAAGACTGTAGTAGCAAAAAATGGGTTTGTTGTAGCAAAAAACAAACTGGTTGCAGCACCATCATCGGGTCGCGGGTCACCATCATTGGGCCATGGTCACCACCGCCGTAGGATGGCCCCCACTGGTTGCAGCAAATCCCATCGTCGGTGGTAGCTTTTCCCGATGCCGGTTGTAGCAAAATCGCAGCACTGAGTCGCCACCACAATTTCACCATCGCCCCCTTGTAACAAATCTGGTCGTCGGTTGTAGCATGGCCGGTCACTGGTTGTAGCACGGTCGTGTAGCGGCGGAGCTGCGAGTACGCCATGACCATGGTCGGAGGAGGACGAGAAGGTAAGTGGTGGGCGACCATGGCGCCCGCCCAAGGAGCTCGCCGGTGTCGACCTCCCGTTCATGCTACAAGGAGTCCGGCCCAAGGAGCTCGTCGGTGACGACCATGGCGGACGCGCAAGGAGCTCGCCAGCGTCGCATGAGATTAGGAATGCAAGAAAGAAGGTATGAGCGGGCTTGTGTTTTTTTAGGCTGGAGGAATGAATGGACGAGAGGAGTCTAGCAGAGGATAAGGCGGCAAGCGACGCGACCGACCGAAAGTTCGGCCGACGCGCCGCACACAAGCGTTTACCTAAAAGTAAATGCTATTCGGGTTATCTTTTGGCCCAACACACTGGTACTGGCTGCGTGGACTAGAGAAACCATGATTTGATTTTGGGGAACTCCTATGCGCTGCATTCTGCGGCAGAATGTCGAGCTATCGCCCTTAATTGGGCCGGTCCATGAAGGCAACGAGCGGTGCAAAAAATGAACAGGGGTTGCTAGCCACGGCACCCAATTCAGTTTGATGGACAAAAGGCAATGCCAACACTTTAGACCAACTCACACCGGCAGATGGGATTATTTTTCTTTTTACCGATCTTTTATAGTAAATTTTGATTATATTTTTTACAAGTAGGAACATTTTTTATAGAACCCACAAGAGTTTTAAAAAAATGTTAGCAATTTTGCGAATTTGCAAGAAAATTTGAAAAACAGGAACAATTTTGAAGTTGTGGACGAATATTGAAAAACATGAACACTTATAATTATGATCAATTTTAGATAAACACAAAAAAAAATTCAAAAATGTGAACAAGTTTCTTAACAGTGATTTTTTCAAAAACATGAATATTTTTGAAAGGAGAACAAATTTTGTATTATGAACAAAAAAATTTCGTAAACATGATTTTTTTGTAAACATGAACACTTTTAGAATTTTCGAAGAAAATTTTGAAATGGAAACAATTTTTAAGATAACGAACAATTTTCGAAATGGAGAACAATTTTGAAAATCCCAAACAAATGTGAAATGCGAACAATTTTTTAATACGTGAACAAAAATTTGAAAAATAAGAACATTTTTTGAAATTTGTGAACAATTTTTTAAAATAGGAATATTTTTTGAAATCCATGTCATTAGTTACAAATTTCTCAAAAAATGAACAAAAATAATTCAATCAATTTTTGAAAACACGGGAAAAATTTCTGAAAATTTGGAACAAATTTTTTGAAACCTGGAACATTTTTTGAATTTATGAACAAATTTTGAAAAACGGGAACATTTTTTGAATTGGTGAACAAAATCTGAAAAACAGGAACATTTTTTGAAATTCGGAAACAAAATTTGAAAATAAACTTGAAAAGAAAAAAAAGGAACAAAAAAATAAAGAAACAAAAAAAAGAAAACAAAAAACAAAAAAGAAGAGAAATAGAAAAAAGGAAAAGGAAAAAGAAAAAACCGGTTCAGGAACCTTCTAGAAGGTTCCCAAAACCAGAAAAAACCGGCTGGAAACATCATAGAAGGTTCCAAAAACCGGTGTGTGCTGAAACGCTAAAACGGGCCGGCCCACTCGGTCGCTGGCTCTCACCTCCTCCTGTGCGAAGCATCGACAGCTTGCCGCAACGAGCGGCAAGTAGGATTTTCCTTGATTTTGGCCCAACACACTAGTATCGGCTGCGTGGGCTAAAAGCGATTTCGACATTATTTAGGCCATGTTTGGTTCGGCTGTGGATTTCTAAAAGCAGCCGTGAAAAAACTTTTGTGGAAAATCTGTTGTGAAAAAGCTATAGGTCATTTGGCAAACCAGTTGTATGAGCTGTGACTGTAGGTCAGCAGCAGTGGTGGCACCAGCAGCAGAGAAGACCGGCGGCGCGGGGACGGGGCGGAGGCGTCCAGCGGCGCGGGGACAGGGCGGGAGGGGACCGGCGACACGGGGACGGGGCGGGAGGC